GGTCACTTTATTTTTTCTTCACCGGCTGCTGAAAGTGTCAGAGCCATAACCCTGTTTCCAGTCATGTTTGATAATCCTCCCTGCTTTATTGTCCTATTCCGGTGACTTTTTGCAGCTTATCTGTCCATTGCTTTAATTTACAGCGTCTTTGTGGCAACTTTCGAAGTGAAGTAAACACAGCCCAGTCACACAAATAAGACTGTACGGAAGCAAGTTAAATCAGAGATACTGCCAAGGGTGTTGGGTAGTTATTTTTAACTCCGCTTGATGGTTGTCTTCCCTGCATTTGTTTTTTCTCAAAAAATGATTGCTCCCCACCATTGAAAACCCGAGTGCTTCTTTATGTTCTACCCTTCCTTGCCCTGTGCCTGCCTCGCCTAATTAGATTGTAAACTCTTCAATACATGGACCAGCTACTGCTCTGCTTGTGCCATCTAACGCAATGGGGCCCCATTCTGGGTTGGCCTGTAGGCACTGCCATAACAAACACGATTAATAACTGTCGAGAGAGAGAATCCTTTTTTCCCCCTGATTGCAACGTGTCAGACACCAGCTGACACCTTATGATCTGTAGCCATCAAAGGTAGTTTTGATTTTTCAAACCAATCAGCTAATAACCAACTAGAATGACCTAGAGGGGTGGGTTTTTTCCCACTGGGAAGACAAGTTTGTTTATTTCATGCCTCTCTCCTGAGCATGGATTTCCTTAGCAGAGCCACAGATGGCAACAAGCACCGTTTAGCAAGAGCAACTTTCTGTTCATTCCCTCTTTTCATATTTTGCTTTTGGCAGAATAAAGATAGAATTTGATTCTAGCCCGTAGTATGAGCAGAAAAAAACAACTAAATCAGCCTGGAGGAGGTGGAAAGGTGCAACTGTAATCGCACACAGACATGCTGATCACAGAAACAGAGAAATAACACTTGACAATGCTGAATAACCACAACTGGCAGCTGGTTTCTTGATTACACCTCCTCAAATAAAGGGGTCTTAGCAAGTATGTTATTTAATAATAAGATGAGTGACTCGTACAGTAAAAGAAACTAATGGGACTTGAATTGTGATAATCAGAAAGCTGTGAACAGAATAGTGTAGTCCGTGGGGTTGGGCACAGGACTAGCAGTTAAGTGACCTGGAGACAGATTCCAGCCCATCACAGACCCTTTACACTTCCTCTGCAGAAAGCAACTGCTCTAGTTTATACCATGGACCACACCGGCCCCTGGTGTAGCTCAGAACCTAGAAGGCATACGGCCCTCAATCCCTACTGAGTCTTTTGTGCTGCAGCACCTGAGAGGCACAGCCCAGAATCTGCCCCCTAGACTCCACCTTCTGACCCTGGATCTGCCCATGACTTTGTGTGTGACGTTGGGCAAGGCATTTCACTTCTCTGTGCCTTAGTTTCCCATCTGTAAACTGGAGATGATGATATTTACCCTTGCTTGTAAAGCACTGAGATCTATGGATGAAAAGTGCTCTCCAAGTGCTAGGTTTTATTAGTTATTTTATTATTGTTGTTACTCAAAGTAGGGTGACCAGATGTCCCGATTTTATAGGGTCAGCCCGATTTTGTAGGGTCAGCCCTTTTTCTTATATAGGCTCCTATTACCCCCTACCCCCATCCCGATTTTTCACACTTGCTGTCTGGTCACCCTAACTCAAAGTAGCAAAGAGTCCTGTGGCACCTTATAGACTAACAGACGTATTGGAGCATGAGCTTTTGTGGGTGACCAGATAGCAGGAAAGCTTATGCTCCAATACATCTGTTAGTCTATAAGGTGCCACAGGACTCTCTGCTGCTTTTACAGATCCAGACTAACACGGCTACCCCTCTGATACCTAACTCAAAGTGACATCCTTTTCCTGTACAGCTATTCAAGCACCCTAAGCAGAATTTTTTGAGTGTTGTTCCTTGGAAGAGAAGGGATGGTATGGGATAATGGAACCACTGGAGAGTTCTTCAAAAGTTTGGGATTGGCAGCTGGAGAGGATAGGATAAGATGTGTGGGTGAAGGAAAAGTGAAAAGGGAGCTGAAGAAACGGAGAATAGAGGAAGAAGAATAAACCAGGGAGAACAAAGACAGAAAAACAAACGTGCAACGATAAGTGGTTATCTGTCTCACTGCACCAAGGGGGCATGGAGGATCTGGAAGGCTGCCTGGCTTGTCTTTTGTTTCTGTATGAAAATGGATTCTGTCATTTCTCCATATTGATGAATCCTTGTTTCTGTGACAGTAGCTCATTAGCTTGAATGAAGAGTAAAGTAAAGTTCATCTGGAAATATTGATATTTATTTATGCCTATTATTTTAAAATATACAATTGATTAGAAAGCATCCATCTGCTCAGATAGTTAACTTATATAACTGCACAAACCTGCCACTCACCTGCTGTGTGACCATAGGCAAATCACTTCCCTTTTCTGTACCTGTATTTCCCTTCCCACTCTTTGACGGTCTTGTTCACGGGGCAGGGACCTGATCTCTATGTTTGCATGTGTGGTGCATAACACAATAGGGCTTGGATTCTAGCTGGAGCCTCTATGTGCAACAGCAGTACAAATGATAATCTTATTGACATTTCCATTATCCTCCGTCCTGTTCCTTCATAAGGTTTGGTAGAACACTTGTTGATAGAGCCAGTTGGACACAGGACTGGCAGCTACTAGATTTTCATCAAAAATTAGGGGTTCATCAATCTTTTTTTTTTTGGAAGAAATCTGGAATGAAATCTGCCAATATTTCCCTTTGCAGCAGTGGGGCAAATTCTCTCGTCCCCTTTTTTTTTTTTAAACTTTCCCTCCACCCTTTTCTAATGGGAAAAAGAAAACAAATCAGAGAAGCAAAGGTGGGGGGGCCACAAATTTGAAACAAAGTTTTCCCCAAATGAAACTTTCATTTAGATTTTTTTATATTGGCCCATCTACCCTCTCTCCCTCCCCACAAACAAGTGAAAAATGTTGACCACTACAAAAACTGTACTTTGGTTTAAAAAAAATTACAACCAGCTCTACAGATTGCAACTTCTCTTAAATTAGACTGTAAACTCTTTGGGGCTGCATGTCTAGCCTTTACTCTCTGCTTATACAAAGTACAGCACTGTGCAGCTCCAATTCTGCTTGGAGTGTCTGGGTCAGGCCACAACATAAATGATCGCTAAGAACATTAGTTAAAAATGACTGCTAACTTTTCATCAGCATAGTGTTCAATGCAAATCAATAAAAAAAAATCAAATACGTTTTCATTAATTGATTGATTTTACTTTTTTACCATCTCTCCTGGGGGGTCTTATCCAAAGCCCACAAAATCCACTGGATTCATTGGCTTCAATGGGTAGTTGATCAGAAGACTTTCTCTAACATGTGTGGTGGTGGTGGTGATGGGAGGTTCTGGGCTACAGCCACACTTGGCAGACTAGAGGATCAAGGTCAGTGGCATCAGCCATCGATGTAATGGTTATTTGTTATGAAGCACACATCATTTTAAAGAATTCTCGCCATGATGAGCTTTCAGTTTTGCAAGGCTTCTGCCAATTAGTCACCGTCCTTATCTATCTCCATCTCCCAACCATTTCACCAACATTAACCAATTAATTCCTGACAGCACCCTTATGCATTATTAGAGTGGCTGCAAACTGAAGCCTAAAGGTTAAGTGATTTGCCTGAGGCCAGAGAGAAGAGTCAGTTTTAGAGAGATTAAAAATAGATAATTCTTAGGTTCCTACAGAACACAAGACAACCCTGAATTTACACATGCCACCACTGTCAAAGGCAGTACATTTTGGCTTAATAACCCTGGAGATTCGGCTATCCTCAGAAAACATCAATTTGTTATTTGTATTGTGGTAGCGCCAAGAGGCACCAATCAGGAATTGGGACCCCATCATCGTACTAAGCACAGTACTCCTGTGTAATGAAAATGGGAAGTGTAGCAATTTCACATGTGTCACCCAATCACACAACATGTGCCATAGACTTGTACAACTAAGTTTATACACAAGGTTTGAGCCTGTTTTCAATATTATATTTACACACACAGTGGAGAATACAAAATGAGCTAGGAATCATTCCCGGATCAACTCAGATTAAAATAAAATCACATACACTGCTGCACCCTCTAATAGGGCAGCTAAACCATTTTAGAATATGATTTTTCACAATGCACATTGTAATTGGTAACCTCAACTATTACTATATGCATCACACTGATAATCAGCATAAAGGCAGTGTGGATGCACATTTTTGGCTGAAAAAATGTTCTTTTTTTAAAGTCTTAATTATTGAACTTGGAAAAACTATTACTGAGTAATCTAGCTACCTTTAATCTTAATTAGTTATTATCTACAGTGCAAACATAACTGCTGAGACCTTTTGATAAAAAGCTCTTAATGTTTCAAACGGCATGTTTGAATAACCAACTACAGGGCAGATACAAGCTCAATTGTCTTGCATTTAAAAAAAGTGTTTTGTATTTTATGTGGTGGTTACCTTTTCTTTCTCTGCGGTGCAGTTTTGTGCTATTGTTCTTATTAAAACAGTCCTGATTGGAATAGCACAGATTTACAAGGAAGACAGTTTGTACAGTATCTATCTATATGCGGGTTCTTCTTTGTTCCTCATTACCATTGTATCATTTCATAGTCTTAATGTAATTATCCTCACAACACCCCTGTGAGGTCAGGAAGTGCTGTTATCTCTATTTTACAGCTGGGAAACTGAGACACGACGAGATTAAGTAATTTGCCAGAGGGTCCGCAGGAAGTTTGTGGCAAAGCAATGCATTGAACTCAGCTCTCCCTGTGTCCCAGCCCAGGATGGATCCCCAACCACTGGCCCATCCTTACAAAACGACACTGTCATTCAGACACTCTCATGTGTTTTATCTACAGATTAAAGAGCCATTAAACGGGAAAGAAAACTCTGCATATTAAAACTACATAGCAGGGGTTTGTGCACAAGGAAAAGAATAAAAATATGTATAATGACAGACTGTATAGTCTTACCTGGACCAATAGGAATCCACAGTCCCATCTTTTTTCGTGCCTTCCTTATATGTATTCTTTACAGGCTGCTGCTGATGGTAGTGGTGGCTATGATGATGCAGCGAGACCAGGTCAGAACTATACACCTGAACACCATTCCTACCGATACTTGAAGCCATTCAATATTTTTGTTACAAAAGGGTGACGACTCACTAAGTAAAATGACACGGATAGACCGTGCGGTTGTGGCACTTTTTGCAAGGATGCTGGAGTGATTGCAAAAAGGGCAGACAGCAATGACAGGAAAAATCCCCAGAACAGGGTTACATTTCCTACTCTCCTAGAAGGTGCTTGCTTAAAGGAAAGATGCAAAGCCAGGCTCATTCACAGGGAGTGAATGCAATGCCTGCCTGTCACCGCAGCCCTGCCTGTTACTTTGCGAAAGCCGAGCTGATCTGGTTTGGGATTCAGAGGGGAGTTTGTCTCTTTGCAATACAAAGTCCACGTGTCAGTTTTCAACTTCTCTTCCTGTTGGAGCGTTTCCAGGAAGCAAGTCTGGCAGCGGCTAGTACAGACTGCGATCAGCCCGGGGGGAAATTTACAAACTGGATTGAGCGTCCAAGGTTGGGCAGCGGGCCGGAGCGCACTGTACAAAGATTTAGCCCCAGGGTACCAGAACCACGGCCGAGTTTTGAATGGGTCCACTAAGGGATGATAAGCAGATCTGCAACCAAATCACCCCCTTCAACTCTTCCAGCCAGAAATGACGTGGTACAGGGTAGTATAAGAACAGAATTCCTTTTGCATCTCACTTGAATCAGTTGCAAGTAGTGTTGCTATTAACATTGGAGTCCGACACTTTTATTCCTCCCGTGGACCGGGTGTCTGTATTTGTACCAACGAGAACCAAGGCGCATTGTTAATACCAGACCACGGTGCAGCTACATTGCTCAGGGGCGTTGCCGGAGGGAGAGGCAGGATAGATTCCTAGACCTTTTTCTCTTGGTGCTATAAATCCATATGCGTTGTGGAGAAGGGGCGAAAGGGGAGAACCGCACTCCCAGGGACAAACAAACTATTTTTATTATTTGGAATATGATGCAAGTGGGCTGTGCCGTTACTGAGATGTCAGTGGAAGTGACCCAGCCAGAATGGAAAACTTAAGTGTGTGTATGTGTGTGTTGATCACAAAGGCACCTGCATTTGTGATCAATATAAAAGCAGGGGCAGAGAGACACTTGTTAGTTTTTCCTTACTTTCAGTTTCCTGGCGGTCCCCTATGCAGAATGCTTGGTCTGAAACTGGTTTCCCTGTAACTCACAAAATGGGAAAATGGGAAAATCCTGCCCCTCTACACCCAGCTCTGGGCCAAGCCTGCTTTTCACGTTCCCACTCTGTGCTTTAACTGTAATTTTGAAATTCATCAGCAGAGTATAATATCAAATTATTTTTTTATCCTAAAAGTCAAAGCAACATTTCCTAAAGTTTCGTGAGTAATGAACGGTTTGCAGCACATGCAAAATTGAGGCCATTGAATACTTCCACTGCAGAAATGTGAGCAGAGAACTAATCTCAGAGTAAAGAAATCCAATAAGGCTTGGGCTAAACCAGTTTACACCCCATAAAAAGTTATTTTAGTGCAAGCCTGTGTGTGGACATCCTTTTTTCTGCATCAAAGTGGGATAAGTCAATTTAGATAAAGCTGGTTTGCTAAATGGGTGCTAGTTTGGTCAGTTCAGGAGAGGCAGCATAGCCTACTGGAGAGGGCACTGCCCAGAAACACGGGTTTTACTCGGCCATTGATGTGCTGGGTGACCTTAAGCAAATCATTTCACCTCCTTCGTAGACAATGCTTTGAGACATTAAAATATTACTTCATACATTTAAGGGCATCCAAATCTGGCCTTCAAATTGTAATCTTTTGGGGGAGGAGGGCAGGGAATTGTCTGTAAAACAAAAAGCATGTTGGAACATACATAAATAATCTCACCTACCCCTTCTACACATACTATATTTAATCCTGTGTCTTTACAGGCCCATTAACTCCTGCTTGAGTCAAGCACACTCAACTCTAAAAAGCAAATATTAGGATAAAGGGATAATGAAGATAAGTATTGAAACTTTTCCCCCACTTCATGCATTTTAAAGGTATGTACTCCCCTGTCCCCACAATTACTGTAGATCTACATACTTGCAATTCTTTGCATTTGGTAAAAACAGGTTAGAGTGAGGCTTTTTGATTTGAATAAAGCAGGTGTATAAACCCAGAGACACCCATTTTAATGCCTCCCGCTCCATACTTTTTCAGGCCAGGCACTCAGCTCTAGTTGGTTTTCAGAACTTCTGCTCTCATAGTATATACAGTTATTTAGGCTCAGAGAGTTTTGTTTCTAGTAAGAAATAATATAGGAATCTTGGTCAGCATAGATGGGTAGCTGCTATTGAAAGATTACCACTGACAAAGGTCTCAACCCACCAACAAAGGTGTTGAAGCACCCTGCTAATCAAGAATTTGAAGAGTATTCTTCATTGGACTCTATGGATGGGAAATGCAAGGTCTGTACTGAGCTCAGAAGCGCCACCACAGTTAAATTATACACATGCATATTTAACATTACATTTCTGTGCATGTTAAAAAAATAGTTCAAGGAAGATGAGGGCAGGGCAATGAGTAGGGAAGCAGGGCTCCTCTTCTCTCCACCCAAACTGCCTGCTTTTTCCTTGCTCACCTCATTTTGTACATTTGCAAGTTATAAATAGGCCTGCTGCAGAGGAAAGCAGTGTTATCAAGGCAAGAAGGGGACAGTGAGCAATGAGAGAGCCCGGTCCTCTCCCTTATTGCCTCCTACATAATCTTACTAATTTTCAGCAAATAAACATACATATAAACACCTCAGCACAAAGGACAGTTTTTTTAAAAAAGGAACAGAGCAGAGAACCTGGTGCAGAGAGCTGTGGGAAGAGGGGAGGTTCTCTCATCCCTGGTTTCATGCCTCTGCTCTCCCACCTCCTGTCCAGTTTTTGTGGAGGGGTAGTAATTAGCCCAGCTTCCTTTTTCGTGTCCCACTTCAAAACACCCATAAATCTCAGCAACACTAACTCCTCCCTGTTTTTGCCCCTATGCAACTGCGCTGTTCCCCACCTCACTCGCTTACACTAATGAACCTCCAATAGGTTTGTCATCTGGAACTTTTGGCCTCGTGTATCTAGGGATTAGAAATTAAGCTAACAAGATGGCCATCTCTACAAAGTTCAGAGGAAAAAGATAGCTAAAAATATTGTAGAGCTGAGTCTGACTTTGAGATCTGGGAAGAGTCTACAGTCAGGGTTCACGCACAACACTTGGATAGGAACACATGAAAGGTGGGTCTCCCATGAACTTACCAAAGCCATACTTAAAATTTAATTCTTAGAGGTGAAAATACTGAGACAAGGGATGGACTCTTTTGAGCTTCAGGAAGGATTCTGACATAGTATCATGTATTAGGTCAACAGGTGTGGCACTGATGGAGAAAACTAACAAAAAATATTGACTTGGGAACAGCAGATGGCAATTAAGGGAGAGAAGGAATGCAGTGTTGACTATTGAGTCCAGCCCTCAACACTATTGACCTTATTTCACAGCTTAATTTGGCCACAAAATAAAAGCTGACAACTGTACAAATAATGCAGCTGCCAGTGCGCACTTCACTTTGAAACCTGGTCCTCCTTACTTGTGTTTCCATTTCCAGAAGAGGGAGCCATAACTTGGTAAAAAGTTGTCAGGAGTTACATCAATAAGATATTAGGAACACAGAATTTAATATATAATGTTAAAAGGGGTATTTGGAGGCTGTATAGTTGAGAATTAAATTCTAGGAGGGAAAAAAATGAAGGTAGACACCAGACATTTTCTGTAAGGGTCAAACACAAAAGGGAGAGCATAAAGTAAACTTAGGAAAGTAATAAGGGAGTTTAGGAGATACTTTATGGGTAAGGCAGAGTGACAAAAGCAATAATAGTTCCGAGGGGGTTTGGAAATGTTAGAGCTAGACAAGTACTTACACAGGAAACAAAGTACAAACAGCAAACATGTAAGTGGACAGACCTCTGCAGGACTTGGGAAGCATTGCCTCAGAAATAAAATGGCGGAAAAAAACATTAGCTCCTATTCATGTAGGCACTTTTATGGCCCCTGGCACTATGGGATCAGAGAATCTAGTTTACCCCATACACAAGAAAACATCAGCTATTGCTTTGTTCAGCGTCTTCTAACAACCTTATTAGAAACAAAATTTTGTTCATATTGTACATATTCGATCCTGTCCTCCTTTTTAAACCCACAGCTGTACATGTTTTCCAGTGAATACCTGATTTAACCTTGCTGACATGTGAGAAGCAGTTTTGCTTTCAAAGTAAGCAGGGCCTGTGTTCCTAAGGTAGAAGGACTAGAAGCTAAAGGCCAACTTGTGACCTAGGCCACAAACTCATGGAAGAAGAAACCCTCCCTTACACTCCTGCACATCTTGCTGAACTCAGAGCTTTGACGCTCTTACAAATAAATGGGAGGGTGGGAGCATTTCTTAGATAAATACGACTACACATCCCAGTACTCTCAATCTAGCACTACTTGGAAATATTACGTCACTTACAAGCCTGATTTTCATCAAGATCTCAGCTTAGTTTCCCTTTTGGGCACTTTTGAGAATGCAAATAATTGTAGGTAGGACTATGTCTAATTTCTTATCTGCCAGGTTTTCTTCTTCCCTCTCTTATCCCTACAATGAACCTCTTCTATTGGAGCAGAAAAATATGCTCTATTTGACAACTACACCGCTTACTGTATTTTCTCTTTTATGCTGTTTTTTATGATATTTAGGAAAACTGCAAGGGAAAGGGGGGTAGATACAAGGCAGGCAAAGAGGACAAAATATATCCACTCTACACCAAGTGAAAGCTTATATTAATACTTGAGGACAAGGTGTACACTTTAAGATTACATTTACAATCCAATATAGTCCATATCAGAAGAGCATATAGAACAATTTAATTGTAACATTTTAAAGCTTTTATGAATTGCAGTATTATGCATTTTTTCTTTTTCTCCCAACCGTGACCTGAAATAGCATTCTGTTTCTTAAAAGCACGAACCAACGATGATCTAGATACACATACCCTGGATCACACTCCTACTGAATTTAAAACCTTTCATTAAAAAGTTGGTATTAAGGTATTGTATAGAAGCTGAGCAACACATAGCTCTAGTACTCAAGCAATCCTGTTCAGCGTTTCTTAACTTGCCCTCTTAAATGTGCAAACCCGAGGGATATTTACAACTTAAGCAACAACAAAAAACAAAAATACCCTGGGATAGTGTAATTAACATGTTTTACATTTGTGCCTATCTTACATGTAGTGGAAAAAAGTTCTGCCGGCTTGCTGCATCGTTTCCTTATGTGGTTTTACAGCAAGTAGTATCCTGTTTAAAACAAGTTGAGTACCCTCAATTCTACATAACTTTTAAAAACTTCACCTTAGTCTGCTTTCCAGGTAGCTTCCTTGTACTTAAACAGATTACCTATATACATTTGTCTCTCAAAAAATTCCAAATAAAAATTATAATCTGTCTACTAGTTTCTATGTAATACCCAGTTCCCAGCCAGTAATATGCAAGATTAAAATAGTTCTGTAAACAGTATTCTCGGGGGAAGAAGAGTTTTTTCAGTACTTCACCCATATGTAAATCCATTATTTGCTCCCCCGTCATAGAAAACTATTGTATAACAGCAGAAAGCAAAAGTTTACCTTTCATATTTGACTGGCAAAATTGAATAATGGGAACAGCCAAGAGGCAGAAACAATTAAGTAGGTAATCATCATTGAAACATGGGAAGTTTATATCCTAATCAGAATACAGTTAAGATATTTACAAAGCAGAATATTTTACATCCTGACTGTGTTCACATCACTAATAAAGCAAATCTTCTTTCAACAAAGGAAAGGATGTGCTAGGGATATGAATAGTGTACCACATATTTACTATAGTTGTTTGCCACCAGTGAGTTTAGAACAGATCATAGTTAGATGCTGCCATGTCATTCATACACAAAGAAATCTTTGTACCATTTTGTTATGTGAAGTGGAACAAAAATATATTTACACTAGCAGCAAACTGATCAAAGTGGTATTTAATGTTACTTGTTAAAGTGGTTATCTAACAATGATGGATATAACAAAATCCATTAATTAGTAGTCACCAAATAAGACATTTCTCATGCATGACAAAAATTAATTCATGTACTCAGGTCTGCGTTTACTGTGCACAGTATTTCCATAAGTTATGTTTCACAGCCCCTACCATTCAAGAGTATTTCAGAGTATATATTATATTTGTATATGCAAATTATATACACGAATATAAAGATCCCTAAAAGTACCATTATGAATATCTTTATGCTTTCTGTAAAATGCATAGCTTTTGAATATTTTCTTGCAATTAAAGACTTTACAGATTAAAGCTGTTTATCAATGTGGTATATTACTAAAAACAAACTCAAATAATCCTTTACTAAAATGTTATATTTCAACCACTTAGAAAACATCTTATTTTTAAGTGGGGGGGGGGGGGGAAGGCAATCTATGCACTTCGCCCAAAGACTATATGGAATTAATGTAGCATTCTAAAAGTATGGTGAACTCTTCAACCAGGTCTGTAATATCGCATTTCTCATAGAGAAAAATGCTAGTCATGCCACAAAAATTCACCACTTTCCACTTCCTCCTGGAAAAGCTTCAGATGAGGATCAGCACAAAAAGTGTCACACTGGAGGAAAAGTTGATCAGTTGTTCATGAAGGAATCAGAGCAAACAGTTTAATTTCTGCAGTTTGTTATTAAACAAAATGACACTAACCATATAGATTGCAAATTAAAATAATATACTTTAAAAAACAGCAACTGACTGAAAACAATATTTATCTTCTCAGTGCAGGTAAATTGTTAGAATAACCAACGAGGGTGAAATAAAGCCAGCTCATTATTGCAGGTGGTGGCCAATGACAGTTCATTACAGTTTTGTATGAATTACAAGAGTTGCGTATGGTGAAAGCCTCAGGATGTCAAATAAAACCATCAGTAGTAAAATGGGACAGATCAGTCTCTTGTTTTATATCCACCACCTAGACTAACCTTGGCACTGAGGTATCTCTATAGCTGCTTAGGAGACAACTGTCTCCCCCAGAAAATAGCTACACACAAGTAAACTGTTCACAGTAACGCAATCAGGAACAGGTTTTGTTATTCTCTAAGTCATGTCTCTGCAAAGCTTTTACGTTTAATGCATAAGTATTCCAGAAAATTAAGTGGAAACTAAGTAGTTTCAATCTACAGGGTAGTAGTTACCAGACTAGGATATCCACAATATCTGATGGGTAGAGTGTAAATTGCCAGTGCACTGTGATACTATGATATTTCCTCCACCAAACTGGTCTTTGTTCAGCAGTTTTGTAGTAACTCAGCATATGGGTTTTAAAAATCTAGATCTCAATTTGGCAAGGTCAGTACATAATACTACCAGATATACCAGTATGAAATAATATAAGATTAAGTCATACATCCAGCAAAACCGCCTACACCCAGAAGATTACAATCTGGTGACCAAGAAAATCAGGGCCTCATGTGTAAGCATTATAATGTTTCTAATAGGAGTGGAACAGCCAACAAACAATAGCACAGCTGTGAAGATGAACTGCATCTCTCCAGAAAGATATGAAGTCACTGGGATTAGGGAAAAGGGTTTTGTAACGTCACTGCTCCATTCATCCAAGGCATAATATGCCAAAAGAATGGTTACCACTAGCACACTACAAGCTATGCCACCCACCCACCCCCAAATCCTGCAAGCTATTCCACAAAGGCAGACCCTGCGTGAGGGTGGACACTTGCAAAAAAGTCTATGATTCCCGCCTTCCCTCGTATCACCAAGGAGACTTCAGCTAACCAAGCCACACACAAGTGGCCATTAAGGGTGTAGTAACCAGCTGGCATCACTGCAGTGACTAGAGGTGGAAGTTTAACATAAGGAAAAAAAATCCCTGAATAATCAAAAACAAAACCCTATTTAAATATATGATTTAATGTCTTATTTCAGGAGGCCATTTTGGTCATTCTTGAAATTAAAAAGAAACTTTTATTTCCAGCAATACTACTTGTGAAAAGATGGGTCATTGATCCACTGTGAACAGAGCTCTCACCATATAAATAAAGCACCAGAGTCAGAAACAAGGAAAAAAAGTCCTTAAATTATGATTTACAAGTTTATACACTATTTCCTATGCAAAAGGTTGGCCGTACAGTAAGAAAGTTTTAGATGAAAACTTGACCAGTTGTTAGTTTTAAAGGGAAATGCATATCTTGCTATAACTTAACATAAGGTAGAAAATATTCACTGATCTATATACATTTCAAATGAGAGAGAGTTAAACTTAACTGAATAGTTAACCCCATTTAACTCACTGGCCACTAAACTAAGCATCAGTAGCCAATTAGAAACCTTGAGCACTGTACTTTAAAATGCCATTTTTTTCTTTCCTGTCTAATTGGATTTTTTAAAAATGTATGATAGTGCATAGCCTAAATCAGACTTTCAAAGAGATACAGCGCCTTTCAATGCAGTTTTCTCAGCATTTAAAAGGGACTTTTCTCCCTTTAAATAAGATGTTCGTTGAAAAAAATCTGAATTGTTGAGTTCTGTACTGTAGTAAAAATATTTCAGTCACAGACTGATATAAATGTATACTGTGCAGTACTAAGATTTCTTGGTGTCCATCTGCACACAATTTACTTGGGTTCCTCAATTGTCCCCTTGCTGAGGTCTGTCATTTTGGGATATTTTACTTTCTTCTGGTCCAGTTCATTCTGAGCCCACAGAAGCAGTTTCAGTAATTTAGCCAACTTGGGTGTTGACTCGCGATTTTCATAGTCTAGAACAGCTTGGTTAACTTCGCTCCATACCTGGAAAAGAAATATTGAACTTAGAGTAGTGATCATATATATTAACTGAAGGAGAATGTCCTGCAGAGTTTATGAATTCCTCTGAGTACCAAGTTAGAAAAAGCAGAGCTTAAACACCTCACTGGTCTCACATTACACTGAAAACAAGTAAGAGGAGTTGAGGATTTGGCCTTTTATACCCTCTCACACACCATTACAGCAGTGCCACAAGGTGTTAAATCTGCCTTAAAGCAGCAGCTGAGGATTGTTCAACTGGCATAAGGCTACAATGCCAGCCCCTCCTGGCCCACCCAGCGCAAAGGAAGTTGAAGAGTGAGGATGAGGAGATAAGGACAGAATGCAATGTGCTCCAGGGATCCTGGGGGTGGAGCAACCACTGGGGACCATAATCCACCAGCACAAGTTAGAGCAAATTAACCACATAGAAGATTACCTTGCTGTATTTTTTTGCCTCTCCAAAAGTTCAAGATAAAAATTCTGCTCTGAAGTTCCACTACCAGTTTGTGCAACAACAGCCATTTCCCCCCAGAATATAAGATTAAACAATTCTATAAAAATAGTGAAGGGGAGAACATAGTTCTCTTGGTATCCATTCCATAAGGAAGTCTACATTGCCTTCCCTTCCCTACATAGAGCAATTCTAATGCACAACCCCAGAAAGCACAAGTTTACCTTTCCTATTCTATTAGCAGCCTTCAGGATCAGGAAGGGTGTGGGAGGAGAAACAGCAAAATGAAATTAAGCCATTTTAGCTTCTCAGAACCCCTGCATGTAGGAAGCACTGTTCTGATCTGTCTAGGATCTACCCCAATGTGTTAGTTTTTAGTCTAAGCAAAATCAAGCAGCAATTAAAGTTATGCTGAATTACCTAAATTTAAACTATAAAAAGGAGTTCCAGATTAAAAACAAACAAACAAACAAACAAACAAACAGAAGGGATAGTGGCAGCAGTTGAGGGACACAGGTGGAAAAAAGGTAAAATGAGCATATCCAAGTAATATTAGAAAAAACTAAGAACAATTTTGATTTGCACTCAGAAGTGGATAGGAAGCCAGTAAAAAGGAAATATGCTTCTGTTTCCTAGAGCAAGACAGCAGCATTCTGAACACCTTGAAGTTTACAGAGCATGGAGATTAGGAAGAGCATAAAAGAGGAAACTGCAGTAGTTTATACTGTATCAAAAGATGGATAAAGCAAGCCCATAGTTTCACAAATGGGGGATGTTTTACATTACAAAAGTTGAGGCCCTGATTTTCTTGGTCACCAGATTGTAATCTTCTGGGTGTAGGCGGTTTTGCTGGATGTATGACTTAATTTAAAAATATTGCTGTTAAATTATAACAAATCTCAGCTTTAGAAATACTTCTGTTCTCCATACCAGTTTATAAATATTTAGTAATTATGTAAAAAATATTGTAATATTATAGCGGTCCACAAGGATAAACAAAAGTGAAAAGAGCTCTCATTTGAGCATACATTACCTTCTGTCTCTGCATCATGTTGAGCAAGTCTCCAAAGGGCGATTCTTCAGGATTATCAAAGGCAAGCAATGCCAGCGTGCGCTCCATTTCTGTCAAGCATTCTCTGCTCTCCTCGCCTTGTTCTGCCAATTGAGTCTGAGCAAATTCCAGGGCTGCCTCTGTCTCACGCTGCCGAATCAGTTCAATCAAATGCTGCTGCTATATACGTGAGGAACAAAGCAAGATTAGTCAATAGAGGTGTAAGTGATGTTTAATGTGTTAGACTCTAGGTATTCCATTTCTTCTCCTACATATTAAGTAGCAAAGCTGTACTAAATCAGTATTTTGTCAGTACTAAAATTCAAAAATACATTCTTGTTAGACTAATAGTAGTACAGTTAATCCTATTTTTCAATTGATTTTGGAGCCATTTAAAACCTGGAAAATAGGTTTTTAAGTAGTGGTTCTCAAACTTTTGTACTGGTGACCCCTTTCACATACCAAGCCTTTGAGTGCAATCCCCCTTATAAATTAAAAACACCTTTTAATATGTTTAACACCATTATAAATGCTGGAGGCAAAGCGAGGTTTGGGGTGGAGGCTGTCAGCTCACGACCCCCCCCATGTAATAACTTTGTGACCCCCTGAGGGGTCCTGACCCCCAGTTTGAGAACCCCTGTTTTAAAGAAACTTTATAACTGCTGCTAGAAGACATGACTAACCATCAACAATTTGGGAGTTTATAAATCATAGGTAAGATGAATATGGTTATGTCATATATATTAATAAATACAAACTAGAAATACTCTACAAATGCTACTGCATTCCATGCCATAAAGTAAGAAATAGACAGTTAAAATCACATCACACACCACATTAGTGAATGCTTGCAATTACATCTTTTCTTCAGTCTCCAAACAATTCTAGACACAAAACAAACTAATCACTGGGTCTTACCTGCAAATGAAAGTAAAGGTATCGGTTTGTATCTAACAATTCTGGATGGAGACTATTAATCAATGCAATTGCTTCTTGAATCTGTCCTTTCAGTATCATTTCTCGAATTTTTATCCTTTCATCCAGAGTCTCTAGATCAACACTGGGCTCAATTCCAGACTCCATCCGAAACTTCTCTGCTGCCTCTTTAAACCCCTCTGAAATATAAACACACATTTCATCTCTGAATTCTATTTAATAAGCTATATACAATAGTACAGATTTATCAAACTTGTATACTTCCAATTGACTTATATGGATCTGAAACATAGGAGCCTGGAGGCATTTCATATATGTTGCTAACAGGAACTACTGGGCATAAGATGATTTTATTTTCTCATTAATAGGGATGTATTATTGAGGACTGGCCTGGAGAGGACTGAAGTCATCATTAGTCACCACCAGCAGCACTTTTTGGTCACACAGTTGGCCTTGAAAATAAAGTCCCTGTACATCGAGCCCTGAAAATCAGATTTGAGATCAGGAGGGGACACAGCATGGCTATACACTGGCTGGGCTGCACCAGATCAGTAATAACCCTGTGGAGCTTTTAGACACCTTGAGTAAAGCCACCATGTGGCTATTGACATTCCATGCTATGGACCCTGGCTGTCTAAACATGTTGTTGTTTTCTGAATTTCTATTTAATAAACCAAGTTAAGAGGATAGACTAAGATGTCCACGCAATCCTATGTGGAATCTTTTCAATGAAGCAGGCATTTTTGTAAATACACCTCTACCCTGATATAACGCTGTCCTCGGGAGCCCAAAAAATCTTACCGCGTTATAGGTGAAACCACGTTATATCAAATTTGCTTTGATCCGCCAGAGTGCGCAGCCCCGCCCCCCTGAAGCACTGCTTTACTACGTTATATCCGAATTCGAGTTATATTGGGTCGCGTTATATCGAGGTAGAGGTGTACAAGATCATGATTGAAAATATATGAACTTACAGGTTTCTCCGAAAGGCTGATTTAAATAAGTTGCACAATTCTAGAAAAACTTCACATTTAATTCTCTCTAAATTCATCAAGTTCCTATCCCTTCTATAAAAGTCTATATTTAACTGCATGCTAAGAGAAAAAAGGTACAAAACAAAATTTTACTAGGAATGATTCAAGTTTAGCATTGACCCCATGATTGGAACTCTGTTGTCTGATATATTTGGGCATGGTTATTCTTTTGCAGGAAAGACCATAGCAAAAAATTACATTCATCTGGTGTATAAATAGTTTTACCCATTTTATAATTAGCATAAACATGAGCGAGTCTGAACTCCCGTCTGCATACCACATGAAGGCTCTTTTCATCAGAAAAAGAGTCACGGAACTGAACAGACACTCTGCTTTCATACATATACACAAAAAATTTATGACATGGTCACTCTAGTGCATCTCCCATTGCTCAGGTTCCAGCTGCACATGGACACAAACGGGGTGCATGCTTGATGAATATGAACATCTCCACTATGGTGCACTTGGCCATGAAAATTAATGTATATCGCCAAAGGACAATTTTTGAGGGGTTTCCGGTATCCCGTAAGTTGCAGTTTCTGGATGCCTAGCACATTAAATATTCCGGTCTTCCTGAAGTGTTTTGAGGACACTATTTCCTCATAATTAGTCTGATCTTTCAACCAAATTAGTTGAAGTTGGTTTCTGATAATTTCTCCTGCTCTGTGATGAAAAAAGAGTGGACACAGCTTGTTCAATGCTGTCCAGATTACATTAGTAGAAGCCATCACACATTCCCAATTTAAGGAAAATAGTATAATAAAAGATGTGATATTAAGCTCTGTGCAGTTTTGGGTAACTGTGTTCCAAACCAGAAATGCCATAAGGGAAATATCTTTTTAGCAGAAAAGCTAAGATTAAAACAGACAGGAGATATATATTGGGTAAAATCTATAGAGGCTATATAATCAAAGTCAACAAAGTTTGGTTCTCTAATGTTTTACTTAGCAAAAATAATGTGTTGCTAACAGAGTGTGGGTGATAAATTCAGTACTGCCTTTGTAGTGTGTTTTTCCTTTACCCAATTTATAACTATTTTTATTAAATAATTATCAACTATATTTTCTGTGAATTCTAGAAAAAAATATTTTCTAGAAATCACAGAAAATACAGGCAATAGTGTTATCTATTAGTATCAACCATTTAATAGCTCATTCTAGTAAGAATGAATTTTATTGATTAAAATAAATGGCAGATGATCTAAAAAGAGACCACCCTACTAAATGTAATACTAGCATCCATTGCTCACTGTTACCTGTAACAAGATAGTTCATGATCAGGCGATTCATATCAGCTCTTTGGATGTGCAAGTTATTGAGTTTTTCCATCCATTCATCTTTTGTGATTTCATCAGGTTTTTCTGCATAACTCATTCTGGATTTTCACTATAAGGAATGAAAAGTATCTTACTTGGCACAAATACCAGCAGGTGAAAGAAAAGTTAAGTCTAACCTGCCTATAGGAACTGTGGGACCAGCTCGGTTATTAATACCTTCTTTGCTGGTTCAATAAAGATGTTGGCTAAACAAAAAGTTATCGATGGAGAACTGAACTCTTTTTTTTGAGATCAGCCACTGTAACAAAACCGACCCACATACATCACCACACAGCCACACATACACCCCGCGCCCAACACACAGCCCCCCACCCCACATACATACAACAGACACCACCATACACACGCCCAGCTCCATACACACACCATGCACCGAATCACCCTCTCCGAGGGGGCGCACAGCCCGTCTCTCACACAGGCTGGCCGGGCCTTATCCCCCACCCCTCACGAGGGGCCGGGAGGAGTCTCGGGGGGGGGCGGCTCAGTGCAGGGCTTTACGGTACCACCTCCAAGACGCTGAAGGCTTCTTCGGCCCTGCCAAGCGCGCGCTCCTCAGCTGCTCCCCCAGCCCCGAGACTCCCGTGGGGACGGGCCCGGCCTCCTGGGCTCTGCGAGGACTAGAGCCGCTTCTTCCGCCGCCTAACACCCCAGGGCCCCGAAACCCCTCCTCAGCCTCTGCCCTGGCCGGGCTCTCGCCCCCCTTGCCGGGCCCGGCGCACCGCGCCTGCCGCTCCCACCGCCAGGCTCCGCGCCGCCCCCCGAGCGAGGGCCCCAGGCGAGGAAAGGGCCCACAGGCGCCATCTTACCGAACGAGCCACTGCTGCCGGCCCCGGTGCGCGGACCCAGACCCCACTCCGCCTCCTCTCTCAGCCGGGACTCTGCGCGCAACTCTCGTCTCGCGAGAACTGACCTCCCAGCCAATCACCGGCCGGAGCTGGCGAGCGGCACGCACCATAGAGCTGGGGGAAGAGGAAACCCAGAAAAGACCTAGAGGGGAAAGCACCATAGAGATTACGGACGATCTGGTCGGCCAAGTACCATAGAGATTGCGGGAGGGAGGCCTCGGCTATGCTAACCAG